ACAGGTTTACAGGGTCTCACTGCATAGATCAGACTCATAGTGATCTGCCTGTGTTCAGCCTCCCAAGTGGTAGGATTAGAGGCATGCACCACCATACCCAGTCTTAATTGCTTTCTCAGTGTGCCCCAGGGGCAGGGCTGGTATGGCAGGCCTGGGGATCAAACTCAGGCACTTTAATCCGCTAAGCTATTTGGTTGGCCCCATAAATCTATTTAAAAGTCGAAGTCACTCCTCAAACAATCCCCAACTTCTCTTCCCAAATACACATATATACTTTTTTTTTTTTCTAAAAATGAATTTTTCCCCCCAAGCAGGACTCAAATTTGTGATCCACCTGCCTCAGCCTCCCTTGAGAGTGGGATAACTGTACTTCTTTTTTCTTTTCTTAATTTTATGTATTTGTTATAAGGTTTCACTACACAATTTGGACTCAGTGATTCTCCTGTTTTCAGCCTCCCCACTGCTGAGGTTACAGGTGTGCACCACCGTACCCAGTCTCAGTCACCGGCTTAGCATGCTCAGAGGGGTGAGGCCAGCACAGCATGTGGTACCAGGGATCAAAGCTTGGTCCCTGCACTTGTCAAAGCAGGCCTTAGTCCAGTGAGCTGTTTCACTGGCCCTTGTACTTCTTTAAAAAGGCTTTTGTTTGTTTACATTTTAATATCTCTGAAATCCTAATGTTTTGTGTAATCAATGCTGCTTTGGGTTTGGTTTAGCACAGGACTGCTCTGCCAAGTGTTCTTTTCTCACTAAGGCCAGTTATAATTCCAAGCCAGCAACAAACTCCAGACTACTTTCCTAAAGTCCTGATCAGGCCAGGTTTCCATCCTCAGAAGACTCTGCGGTCTCTGCCTCTACCCAACCCTACATCCTCTGACTCACACCTCTCTTGCAGTTTCCTGCATGTCCATGTCTTCCTCAAAGCAAAGTAGGCCAAGTAGCTATATTTGCAGTTATTTCCCCAAAATAGCTGTGCTAAACTCATTCTCTTTGCCTTTGCACTAAAGTGTCTTCTGCCTTAAGACTTTCTCACCTTTTCTACTTTAAGTTGCCTCTTATTTGAAAAATTGTCCTGGCGCCTCAGGTTGAGCCTTGCTTTTTCCCCTGCATCCCCTCCAGCTGTGGCACTTACCTCTTCTAAATCACAGCTCCACACCCTTTTTCAGCTCTGTACCCAGCACGAACACTGAATTCTCAAGCACACCTTCTTTTATATCATCTCCAGCATAGAGATGCAACTGTATAGTTGCTACATAGATCATTTTCAATTTATGAGCCTTCAGTTTTGTTCCTTATTTTTCACTCCTGCAGACCTGTTAATTCTACTCTCAATGAAAGACAAGAAGATTTCAACATGAAGCTTTCTTTTTGTTTGTCTGTTTTTATTTTTCAGAGTCTCATTATACAGTTGGAATTTAGCGATTCTCTTACCTCTTCCTCCCAAGTGCTGAGATTACAGGCTCAACAACCACACTTGCAGTGAGGCCTTCCTCTCTTTCTCAAGAGTATTTTTAGTGCTTCAAATACATAGACTTCTACATCATCATGATCCCTTTGCAACAAGTTCCTTATTTTGGAGCTAAATGTTTTTAAAAGGACCAGAGTAGGACTCTTTCCACTTGTCAATCTAAAATGCCCATCTGAGAATTCCACTTGGACTCCCTCTTGCCCTAAGTGTGGTCACACTTTTATACCCCCACCAAAATTCAACACTTGGAAATAAATACAGAAGAAAATTTACGTTCAATACACAACTTCTTTTTTAATAACTTTTCCAAAGGCTGAAGAGTTGTAGGGCCATAAATGGAAACAATTTACGCTTCCACAGAGAATTAGTTTTAAACTATAGAAAATGCCCATGATAGCAAGAAAAAAAGTTTCCAGCTCTTCTTTCTGACCTAGATAATTTAAATTTTAAAAGATATATTAGTTATTTATATATTTGGTACAGGGTCTCACTACACAGTTCAGTCCTGTCTCAGTGGGATTATGGGTTTGTGCCATCACTCCCAGTTGCAGTGGCCAGCACAGTGTGCCCAGCATTCTGGGGCTGGCATGGCATGTGCTATGGATCAAACCCCGGTCCTTGCACTTGCCAGGCAGGTACTTAGAACTCCAAGATATCTCTTGGGCCCTGGCCTAGATAGTTTAAAGCCAATAATTCCAATTCATTCATAGAACGTTAAGAGAGCAAGTTGGGGATTTAAGCATAATTCAGCTGATGTGACTGATACAAGAGTTCCTAGGACAGGTCCAACTAAAACACATTGACAATCATAGGAGCAATGTACTTTCAATAATGTGTCTTGGTAAAAAGAACAGCGGCACATGAAAAACCAGAAATTGTGGAGAAAAGAAGGAAAGATTAGAAAGAATCAAATAATAGAGGAAATGGAGAACATGGAATAGGAAATGCAGCAGGCATGAGATTTTTGAGAAATATGTATAATCTGTGGAAATTGGGGCTAGGATAAATATGAACCTTGTAATGGAAAGAAATGGGAAGTCAGCAGTACAGAATAAGTTCCAGGCTAAGATAGGTAAAGGCAGAGATCAAACCCTTGGGAGTAACTTGTGCTTGTAAATAGGACTGATTAAAAAAGTGAGGCAAGATCCATCGCAAGATGAAAACAAAAGGAGCTAGCAGCAGCAGCTCTGTGTGTGTGTGTGTGTGTGTGTGTGCGCGCTCGATGTAATTCTAATGTCTTTTTTTTTTCCTTTTCAAAGTTTTATTGATAAACATATAGCAATGAGACAGTTTCAAATCAAATCGAAAGTACAGTTTCAACAAATAATACACTGCGTATATTCTTCTTAGTGGTTAATTGCTGTACAAGATGCAGACTTGTGATCCTACTTACAAACACCATTAGAAAACATCATTCTATTCATTAAGAGAATGCAACTATATATCTATCCCAACCACTTTGAATACACAGATACAAAATGGACATTCATAGTTATACCCCAATTTTTTTTTAAGTTCCGTTGTTAAATATTATAGGTGTGTAAACTCAGCAAAATATTCTAAAAGAGTACAGAAGCCCATAATAGCATTGGGTCTTCTGTTTAATTGGCAATGTCAGAAATTATTGACGTGAGTCCCCCACAGCTCAACACAACAACATGGCTTTACTTCCTATATTTCATCTTCATACTTTTCTACTGGATGGTTAAGACCAAGGTATCTAATGTCTTTTTCAAAGCGAATGAAAAAGACAACTCCACTCTTTAGCTGATCTACACAGGTCTCTGAACAAGGGCGCAGTTCACATGTCTTCCTTGGAGACTAAGAGAAGCAATCATTCTAACAAAGTAGTGCAGTGCCAGATCAGGCTGGCCTGCACTGTGTTCGACATTTTCAGTGTGTGTTTCTTGGGGTGGGTGCGGGTGGGGACTTACAAAGCTTTACCGTAAGCAAGAAAACGCAGAACACTCTACAAATGTCTTCTGTTCATGAAGTTTCAACTAAACAAAGACAAAGTAACTCCAGGTATCAAATACCTTAACTAGAGAAACTGGCAATGAAAATCCAGCAGCGATTTCCCAGCAGCTTCCCAAGACAATTTCCGAAAAAAAAAAAAAAAAAGTCCTTTTGGAGATACCGCAGGGATCTCGTTCCCTCATCGACCCAGCCTTAACCTGTGTGGCGCCGAGAGCGCGGGACCCACGCGGGACCCACTTCGTGGCCTTTGTCCCCAAGCCACCAGTCACCTACCTGCCGCCACTTACCTCCGCAGCTCGGAGGCGATGGGCGAGACCCAGAGGGAGGAGGGACGGCGGGGGCGGGTCGAGAGGAGGTGTCGCCAGGGCGCAGGTGAAACCGACTGCGACCTCTCCCGGGAACTCGCGCGGCGGGAACTCGCGTAGCCCCAGGACTGCCTGGGAGCCTCCCTCTCCCGCCAGGGTCGCCCCTGGGGACCCCCGGCCTCCCAGGCGCGCTCCGGGCGCGCTGCCCGGAGTGCAGGTGACCTCCGCCTGGCGGGGGCCGGGACGCCGGCAGTGATGGCCCGGGAGCTGAGCCAGGAGGCGCTGCTGGACTTCCTGTGCCAGGCAGGGGGCCGGGTGACCAACGCCGCGCTGCTCAACCACTTCAAGGGCTTCCTGCGCGACCCCGCCGCGACCCCCGACCTGCGCGAGCGCCGCCGGGAGCTTTTCAAGGGTTTCGTCAACTCGGTGGCGGCTGTGCGCCAAGACTCAGACGGCACCAAGTGCGTAGTGCTGCGGCGCAGGTACCGGGACCTTGTGGGGGAGGGGACGGGACAGGGGGCGGCCTCGAGACCGCAGCGACGCGCAGCACGGCCGAATCCCACGACTGCCCGGGACCAGTCAGGGACTCCGAGCCCCGAGACTCCGCATCTACAGCGCCAGCACCCTGCGCCCCATGCCCAGGACAGGCCAGAGCTGGTGACCCCGGGAACCTCGCACCCCAAGCCCCGGAGCCCCGAGACTTCGCATCTGCAGCCCCAGCACCCTGCACCCTCGGCCCCAGAGACCTCAGGGACCCCGAACCCTGAGACTCTGCATCTGCAGCTCCAGCACCCCGCGCCCCCTGTCCGGAACAGGCCAGTGCCGGGGACCCCGGGGACCCCAAGCCCGAGCCCGAGCCCGAGCCCGAGCCCCGAGATTCTGCATTTGCAGCGCCACCACCCTCTACCTTCCGCCCGGGACAGGCTGGAGCCCTTGACCCCGGGGACCTCGAGCTCCGAGACGCCACATTTGCCGTGGGACAGCCCTGCGCCCCGGACCCGGGACAGGTCGGAGCGGGAGACCCAGAGTTACCCGTACCCCGAGACTGTGCACCTGCAGCTGCAGCGCACTCGAGAGTGGGTGGCCAGGCACCAGCAAATGCCTGAGCCCGCCGGCCAGGGTCCAGTGCGGGCCTGGTCGGTGCTGCCAGATGATTTCTTTCAGCTGTACTCAGAGCCTGACATCAGAGTCTGTGACACTGCACAGGCAGAGCCCTCTCTGTTCTCTCAGGGTCTCTTTCCCGGGGTCCCCGCCCAGTCCTCGGAATCCTGCTTGGGGAAACCTTCACCGACCGTCTTTCGAAGCATTCGCTGCCAGCTGTCCCTAAAGGATCTAGAAGACTTTGTAGAGCAGGAGAGCCATGGCAGCGAGGAGAGCAGCAGCGAGCCCACTGAGTCCCCCGGGGGCTCGGAAGAGGGGTTACAAGCTGCCCCAGGAATCCAAGACTCGAGAGAACCTGGGAATCCAGACCTGGGCCTCTCTGCATTCCCAAAGAAAACCATTGCCAACCAGAGACCTCAGGACTTCGGAAGGGGCAGCCACCCCTGTACGCAGTCCCCAGAAGGGGTAGAAGAGCCTTTGCCCTGGCCAGCTACCAGGCCTCGGAGGTCCTTCAGGAGGAGTCCTCAGGCAGGGAGAGCCACTCGGTCCTCCTCCGATGAGGAGTGCCTCAATGACGACTCGCTGAAGAGGACTCGCCGCCCTCCTCGACCCAGGAAACCTTCTAAGGCAGGACCAGTGCCCAGCCCAAGGGTAGATGCCGCTTTGACACCCAAACCAGCTGCCACTAAGGCTGTTGTGGCTGAGCCTGGTAGATCACACAGCTGGCGGGTCCCCGGTGGGGAGGAGCTTGCAACCTTGGTACCTCACAGACCTTTTGAGCACAAGTCATCCCTGGTCCCCTTAGAACCCAGGGAACATGAATGGATTGTGAAGCTTGCCCGGGGCTCCTGGATTCAGGTGTTAGCTTTGTTCTGGGAGGACCCCCAGCTGGCTCTGCACAGGGACTTCCTGACTGGCTACACTGCTCTGCATTGGATAGCCAAGCACGGAAGCCTCCGCGCTCTCCAGGACTTGGTCTCTGGGGCTCGGAAGGCTGGGATTGCGCTCGATGTAAATGTGAAGTCCAGTTGTGGGTATACTCCACTGCACCTTGCTGCCATTCATGGCCATCAGGGAATTATCAAATTGCTGGTGCAAAGACTGGCTTCTCAGGTGAATGTCCGGGACAGCAGTGGAAAGAAACCCTGGCAGTACTTGACCAGCAATACCTCTGGGGAAATATGGCAGCTACTGGGAGCTCCTCGAGGCAAGCCCATTTTCCCCGTACATCCTTTAGTCCAAAATTCTTCCCCTACCAGAAAAACCAAGAGACACATTACCCGAAAGACGTCCTTGGCTGCACTACTCAAAAATCAGCACAAGTGGAAATTCGCCAACCATCATGAGAAATTCTGCACCCCAAGGGAGCAAGAAGAGTACACTGACTAGGTAGCCCCTGTCTCAAGTTCTGCTGCCACTCCCTCATCTTTGAGCTTTCACAGTGAAAGAATTCCAAGTTAAGGGATAGAAAAATGTGGAGGAGCTGCTAATGAGGGAGGTTGGAGTGGACTAGGAGTCATTTTAGCTTTTGAACCTGTCCTTGAAATCTGGACCAGGGGATGGAGCCAGGCCCTCAAAACCCAAGGGTCATTCTTCCTTCTCTTCTGCCTGGGTGAATCTGGGCACAGTAAGTCACACTGCTTTCTGCAAACGCAGTCTGAGGCTTTGGCAGGAGAAGAAACAGAAGTCTGAGAAAAAGAGACATAATTTGAGGTATTGACAAAACTCAGACAAAATCCTCTCTGGCTTTTCTTCATTTGAAGAAATTTTGGCTGAGTGGAGAGCACCAGGTTTGAAATCAGATGGCTTTATCTTTGTCTCTATGTGCTTTTGGCACTCAAATGAGTGCACTAAGATTATTACTTGAGAGTGGAACTTGATTGAGGAGTTCTGCAGCCCTGTCCTAGAGCCCTCTTCTCATCCCAGCTGTGGTGGCTGATGTGGGACATGATCCACGCCTTTTCTGAGTGTCTTCTCCACTGACCAGAGAATTGGGTGGAAGAGACCCAGCTGTGACCTTCACTTCTTGCCCTGAGAAATGACTGCTGTTAGGCCCTGCTTTTTTGTAGCAACTGAATGAAACTTTATGAATAGAAAAACCACATGGTTCATTTGCATAGTGACTGAAACAATCGGGAAATTCCCTGTACAACAAGCAGAATCATCCTTAGTAGTTTCCAGTGGGTTTAAATGGTCAAGAGTTGATCCTCATAAAAGAGAAAAATGATTTTTCTCTCTAGGGAAGCAATAAGAATATGTGGTAGGATGAGAATAGCTACCCATCACAACTTTTCTGAGCTGCTAAATATATTTTATTTGCACTAAACTTGTTGCCAATTAAGATTAAATATTAGCCTTGAAGTGCTGTGTATCTAACAGGAAGTGTTCCATTTAATTGCTTGTGATGGGCCTGATCATTGGACCGCTGGGTGAAGTAGTGACTCATCCAGGCTGTAAACTATAGCAGAATGGTGAGACTGCTGAGCATTGATCCAAAGAAGGCTGAAAAATTCAACATTCAGGTGGAAATTGTTAAGCTTTTATGGTAATGTTTTCATGTACGGTGGCAGTGTTGCTGCATTCTTATGTTTTTTTGGTTATGTCCCCCCATGAACATATTTTATAATTTATTATACTGTACTTTCTGCTGATTGCTTTTAGTGCTCTTAATGTATTTGATCAAAATTGTGTCTCATTGAGTATCCAATATTTTTGCTTCTTTGTAGTTGTACTTTTTATTTTTGCTGAAATAAATACATCTTTTTTTTTTTTAACTTTTTAGTGCTGTGGATTGAACCCAGGGACTCATGCATACCAGACAAGTGCTCTATTAATGAAATATAATCCCAGACTCTATCTCCTTTGAAATTTAAAATGGGACAATAATTACATCTATAGGCTTTCCCTCAAAACAAGATCTACATTAAAGATGAAAATTTGACAAATGAAAAAAGACAGAAAGGGCAAAAGAGAATGACTGATGGTGGGAGGTGGTTTAGAGTAAAAGAATGCAAGATAAACATCTATGTAAACACTGTAGTAAATACCAACCTATCAGAAGCCAATGAGTCTTTTCTCTCATGTTTTTTTTTCCTCCCATGTTGATATAACTATCTAAAATTATCTAACAAGTTTTCAAAGTGCTGTGAGATATATAAAAGTGGGTGACTTTTTTCCTCTTTAAACATAAAATCTTATGTTATTGGTTTGCTTTTTACCTTGTCTTATTCACAAGGGATCTGTTAAAGATGCATGGTATCACATAAAAGCTTATAAAGTTAGCAATAGGGTAAAAAGTGGTTTCAGGACTGAGGACAGACAACTGCAGCATAAGAAAAAATTTCTAGGTGTCACAAATGCAAAATTAAGTGCTCTGGATTTCAAAAGAAAGAAAGAGTACGAAGGGGGAGATAGTTATGGGAGGAGAAGGAAAAAACAGAGAGAAGGACTGTCTTTAGGCTGGGAAAATCAGAGAGGGCTTCATGGAGGCCAGGAACCTTTATGTGAATGATACTGGCCATCCCAAGAAACCAGCTGTGGTAGTTCTACCACATTCTTGACCTCTGCTTCAGTGTGTGGTTTACGTGACACAAGTGCTGGCTGATTACTCACTGGTTACAATACCATCCTAAGTCTCAAATAGGTTCTCATTAGGATATGTCAAGTCCCTCTGGCCTTTGTTCACACAGCATGCCTGATATGGTCAACTCTTACCTGGCCCACACTCACTGCGTTGGAGAGGGGTTGGCTAAAGAATGTGTTAAGAACAGAGAAACCTGACTGACCCTTTGAAGTGTTGGGAAGTCCCAAGTAGGGATGTTCCCAGACCCAAGACACTGCAGTCTCCTGCCAGCAACTCCCTGCCATTGCCTCAGTAGCCACACTAGACCCACTGGGGTGCTCTTCTGAGTTTGTCTTGGTGCTGGGTTCCTTTAGCTTAGAAACCCCCTTTTTTGCTCTTTTTCTGGTAGACACCTCAAATGCAGCCTATATGAAGATCCCACAGAGAACACTTCCACACCAGACATATGGCTCCTTCACCAGAGTTCCCCAATCCTGTGACAAACATGGTTCTTGACACATCCTACTTAAGTAAATTGTGTATTTGTATTTTTCTTAAGACTTTGGACATCTAGAGATTAGAGAAAATGTTTTTAATTCATCTTAGTTTATTGATTTTTTTTTCTTTCTTTCTCACTATGTTGCCCAGGCTGGTCCAGAACTCCTGGGTTATCCAGCCTTAACCTCCTGCAGAGCTGGAACTACAGGCACTGCCACTCTGCCTGACTGAATGTAGTGGGTGTCCATAGAGCATCCAATATAGTAGGGACATAATTCTTGCCTTCACAGTTCATTGGCTGCTGGGGAAAGAGGCTGAGTGAGGGTAGTCACTGAACAGTCCCAGCACCGTGGAAGTGAGCAGACACCTGCATTCAGGCTGGAGGATGCAGGGACAGCACTGTGGATGATAGGGCATTTGATAAGATGCCCCACCTGTAAGTGCTCAAAATACAAAGTTCAGTGAAATATTTGCAATTGTTGCTCTGATGCATACCTGAACAGAGAAGTCAGGAAGTAAAAGGGTAGTTAGGTAGGCCTTAGGAGATCAGAGGAAGACAGGCATTCTACAAGAGCATTCCAGGATGGGGAGGCCCAGGTGCAGCATACACTTTGCCATTTGTGGTACAGAAGGCCCATGCACAAGGCTGCAGGGGGCAAAGATAAAAATGGAAAGTTGCCAAATTAGCCACAATCCTGATAAATGTACACCCAGACACATAATAATCATGATCCCAGAAATTCACCAAAAGAACAACTGAAGAAATTCATGAGGGGCCTGGCCGTAGCTCAGGCCTTTAAAGTGGCTGCTTCCACAAAGCTGTCAGCCTCAGGTTGCTGGAGTTCGAACCTCATAACTCTCCCGCTGGCCAAAAGTGCCCTGAAGGCATTCGAGGAACAAAAAAAAAGGAATTCATGACCACCAAACCAACCCTACAAAGAGTATATCTACCACCAGCTTAAACAAAGTTTTTAATGCTATGCAAAAGTGTAGGCACTTTCTAAGCAGGCAGGGATTGTGAATGCTCTTCTCTGAAAAATAGTGTTGCTCTAAATTCAGATGTTTAGAAGCAGTCTTTTGGAAAATTATTTTATTAGCATATGTTTGCATGTAATGATTATTTTCACTGTGAGGAGTGGATACAGATATATAACACATCCTCATTCTTTTTACTCAATCACACTATTCCTAATTGTGAAAGATTTATCTCCCTTTTTCCTGTTGTCTACCTTTTATCTTGCTCTTTAAATTATTTGTACTTTAGGTTTCTCATATGAGAGACCATGCAATAGTTAAGCTCGTGTATCTGATTTATTTCACTTAACATTGCATCCTACAGGTTCCAGTAAGTTGTATCTGCATTTTTATTTGATTGTAAATATTGTTTGATTTCTTTTTTAATTTCATCTGTGACTCACTGATGGTTCAGGAGGGTGTTATTTAATTTTCACATGTTTCTTGAGTTTTGTTATTTCTTTTGTCAATCATTTCTAGTTTCATTGCACTATGGTCAGATAATATGCATAGGGTAATTTCAATTCTTTTCCATTTACCTAAGCATGTTCTATGTGCTCATATATGGTCTATTTTGGAGAATGTCCCATTTGCAGCTGAGAGGAATGTGTATTCTTTTTTGTTTTCCAAAATTTTATTGATAAACAGCAATAAGACAGTTTCAAATCAAATCGGAAGTACAGTTTCAACAAATAACACACTGCATATATTCTTCTCAGTGGTTGATTACTGTACAAGATGTGGACTTGAGATCCTATTTACAAACACCATTAGAACAAATCATTCTATTCATTAAGAGAATGCAACTATATATCTATCCTAACCACTTT